CAGAAGGAGGAGTGTTCATCAATAATTGCAACAACCTGGCCTCCTCCAAGCATTCATCAGGTGCGTCAACGCAGACATATACCTTTTTAAAAATCTCGCAGATTGATTGGAAGAAGACGGGAATATCGGTCGCTTCAAGGGTTTCTTGTCTACTTCTCCTTTCCTCGTAAATTTCTTTGATCTCCCTGGGCAAGTCTGGTAAGAACAGCAGTAGTTGTTTTAGTATTCCTCCCACCAGTTGGGTTGCCGATTGCCAGACTCGGTCTATATACTCGCAGTAAATGAAAGACAGGCCAACCTCGGGTGGTCTCACTTTAAAGGCTTTTGTTTGACGCTGACGGCGGCCCAGTTCGTCTATGATGAAAGACCTGGGATTTATTAGACAACCTTCTTTAAGTGGTATCTTAGCCGAGATACACACATTAGAACAGTTTTTCCTGTGCCAGGCCCACCATAGCACCACAGAAATCTCTCCGTAGGACTATCCGAAATCCAGCCACGGAATTCTTGTCTGTCTTGAATCCACTCGCAAGTGGCTTTGGTGCGCAGTGAGCAAACTTGTTGATGTTTTGATCGTGGATGGAATGGTGACAGCCACATCAGAAATTCGTCACGCTTTTGGTCTTTATAGCAAGTTAGCTCATTTGGTGACCGATCACCTGGGTCTAGAATATTCCTACCTTCCGAAAGTAGATGACTACGTCCATCATCGTAAAACAAATCCGAAATGCTCCGTAGGTTCACGTACAAGCACTGTAATGCGTGTAATGCGAAGGCAGTGTCTTCGAACAGCCTAATATAAAGAGGTGGGAGGAGTTCATTTTCTCGGAAATCATTTTCTTGGAAATCAGCGGTTACCATGAATTCGATATGGCGCTGGATTTCTCCCAAGAATGCCAGAAATGTTGCGCCATTAACAAAGTCAACCGTTCCGGGCGTAACTGAGATATATTGTACGAAACTGACCCAGTCCTTCTTGGGAAACCTTCGAGGGATATATTCTAGGAAACTGACCCCGTCCTTCTTGGGAAACCTTCGAAGGAAGAAGTCCAAGAAGCTTTTGAATTCAATAATGACGCTTAATAATTCGTGTTCTCGCGCAGGATCGAATGAGAGTGGTGAATACTTCCGAGGACATCGGTCGAACATTGACTGGATTTTATTTATCACAAAGGGTTCCATTTCGGTAGGGGTACTTTCTCGATGGGAGGACTATATCAGTAGTCTAGTCGATAAATTGCTACCACTTCTTCCGGGGTGGGAGTATGTATTGAGTAAAGAGGATGATGGCTTTTCACCAAAGGGGAGAACAAGAGGGTTAAATGGGATAGCAGCCATCATTGAGCTGGATGGCACAGCGGGGTAGAGATGCATGCACCATGAATGGTGACAGTGCATGGTATTGGCCAACCACGACCAGAGGCTGTCTTGGCCACAGGGTTCATCAGGGAGCTGCGGGCGCGAAAAAAAAGTGTCCTTGGTTGGAATTGCCCCCTATCAAAAAGATCGAAATCAGTTGGTTTTGAGTTCCCTGTTTGGTTGTCGAATAATAGCTAGTGCCCCTCAGACAGAATGGCATCCACAGCCTTGCCAGATGCAGAGGTACACCCTGAGCGTGCAAGGGTATACTTCCCTCTGAGACAGTCAGCGCAGAGTACATCGCACAGTGACACCAATGACAAATTTGTTCCTACTCTCCACAGGAGGAATACCCAGCAGGCCCCATCAACTCCCTCACCAAATCCACCGCCCTCCCAAACGCCCCCAGCTCAGCCTGATCAACCACACCAGACATCCTCGCCCCCTCGCTCGTCGCAACCAGCCGAAAAATCAAAGCCCGCACGAGCATCTGCAACCGGAACCAGTCGACGCCCACCAGCCTCACCAGCTCCTCACCACCACCATACCACAGCAAGCCATCAGCAACGATGACCGCCTCCGCGAACTCGACGGGACGGAAGTAGAGGGAGAAGTCGATGATGCCGGGGACATGGCTGCTGCCCTTGACATGCTTGGTGGGGGGTATAGAGCGGGGAAGTTGCTCCGGATCCCCTGACTCCTTCTTCGCTTCCTTCAGCCCATCGGTGGCGCCACCATCTTCATCCGCAAAAAGCACATTCCCCGTTAAATCCCCATGAATCAACTGCGACACGGCGGTTTCAACGGGCTCCCTCATCTCCATCAACCGAGTATAAACCTCCCGATACGGCGGTATAACATCCACCGCCGCACCCCCATCACAACACCCAGCAGTCCCCCACGCAATCCGATCCCCCTTCGCCCACCTATGTGCGCGCTCGCGCATGAACGCCGGCTCCCCACCTTCAACAACAGCAAGCAAATCCCTATGCAACGCCCTAGACGCGCGAAGAATCTCCTCCCACCGGCCCTCCGGGCCCGGTTTGCCCGGGATAACCCGTGCGGCAGTCCACCTGTTATCCGCGACGTATTTCATGGCCTGGCTGCGATCGGTGGCGGGGAAGGCGGTGGCGATGCGCAGTGGTTCAGCGACTTGGTATTCCCTTGCGTCTTCTTGGGTTTGCTGGAGTTGGATGTTGTAGAGGGCGCGTTGGATGGTGGCAGCGTGTTCGGCTTCGGTGGGGTCTTCGATTGGTTTTATGATTACGTTGGAGCGCGGGTGGAGGGCGCTGTGGCCTTGGCCGCCGGGGAGGTGGTGGGTGGTGCGTTTGCGGGGGGTTTGGGGGCGGGAAGCGGAGGGGGAGGGGGTGGTGGTGGCGGGTGTTAGGGGGAGGTTGAAGGCGTGGAGGACGTGGGGAGGTGGGGTATCCATGGCGGGGGGGGCTAGGGTGGGATGGGCTTCGCGGATGGACGTGGTTGACGTTGTTAGGTGGCAATGGCTCGGAGATGGGAAGTTTCACATCCTGGCGTATATGAGGACTGTATTTGAGCTTGGACGTAAAATGAAGGCGTAGAGGTGGTATAAATGTTGCAAGTTGACTGTAAACGTCGGTCTAGAAGTCCACAGGGGCATTAAGGTTTCCGGTTATGTCATATGTTGCGGAGCCGACATTAGGTTTGGCAGGCTTGGCCTTCCAGGGATTCGGGATAACTGTTTGGGAATAGTCGACAAGACACAAGATAAACAACGATGTAGGAAAATGGAAGTTGATATGATGTGGGGTCTCATCCATCAGGCACGTAGAGAAGCGAGCCAGCATCACTCCAAGGGGTTTCCCCTTTTTACACCCCCTAGATGTGTGGCTTCGTTGACATGTAGGATTTGTTCGCAGATGGACTTTGATATATCCTCGCCTGGCACAGGGTGTATCAAGGGACCTCACCCCTCCCCAGCGCTTCTCAAAAAAGTCACAACCGCCTCCCTCCCCTCCGCCCGAATCGTGGCCTCCGTATGCAACGAGCCCGACACATCCTTCCTCCTGACATCAAACCCCAGCCCCCTCGTCAACTTCTCCAAATAATCCGCCTGTTCCTCCGGGACAATCTCATCTTTGGCGGCCGAAATGATCAGAATGGGTAGATCCTTTCCCGGCTTTGATTGCGCAACGGCCCTCAACGCACCCTCTGAATCCCACCAGCTGCGCAGGAACGGCCATAGGTAACGATACGGGAGCCATTTCTGCGGGTAGAGGGCTGCGAGCATGCTGCGGGTGTTGACGAAGGGGGTTTCGAGGATGACGCCGTTTACTTTCACGGGTGGCGTTTCGGAGCTGAGGTTTTGTTTTAGGAGGCCGGTTGCGACGCCGGCACCGATGCTTTGGCCCCATAATATTAGGCGGGTGTGTGCGGGGTCCTGGACGTAGGTGTTTTCAACCCAGCGCAGGGCGGCGAGAGCGTCGAGTTCGAGGCCATTTTGGGATGCTCGGCCGCGAGATGTCCAGTAGCCGCGATAGGAGAGGGCGACGATTGTGTAGTCTGTTTGTGATGGGTTGGTTTTGCTGAGGATTTTGAGGGGTGCTGATAGGAGGGGGAGACGGGGAGGTAAGGAGGAGGCATTGCTGGAATAGTCAGCTCTGAATAACTTTTAGTTATTGCCAATAGATACGGTGATGTCTCACCCCTGGAAATATAGGACAACCACATGCTTCCTTGTCCCACTTGTGCCCTGGGCATCTATCCCTGTCTGAAGATGGGAGGCCCCCTCCACACTGCCAACACACAGGGCAATTTGAGTTCCATCCAAAGACCGAATGCGCTTCTCTTCCCAGATCACAGGCCGACACGCCTTTTCATAGTCCTCTATTTTCTCTGCTCTAGAAAATGGCGGGATGGAGGGCATGTATATGATCTTGTTCTGGAAAATAACCATCATGCAGCACTTGTAGAACCAGAGGGTCAAGGCCAATCCCACAAAAACAACGGGGGGGACGAGCACGGCTGGTAGGGCGGTGCTGAGGCGACGGGTACCCCAGGGAATGCTTCGAACTCCATGGTGTAGGTATGGATAGCTGGGTGTAGCTGTAGCTGTAGCTGGCTTGGAGGGGAATTGGCGGGCGTTGTTCAGACGGGGGCTGGGGTTATTTTGGCGGAGGGTGTGGAAACATGATGTCCTGCATTGAATAGAGGCTGGTCGGAGAAAGGTAGATTTCCATGCGGGAGCAACAGGGGGCCGCCCCTTTTTTATTATTATTCCGAGATCCGATACCCGAAGTTGAAGGAATTGGCATATTCTTCCTTTTTCTGGATGCGATGGAACTGCGCCTTGTGATGGAAAAACCATTCTTCCAGTGTGACCTGTGTTCAAGTCCCAGGATGGGGCCCAACGAAATCCGGCGGCCACGGCGGGAGCAACAGGGGGCCGCAACAGCATGGTTTTCTACAGCGCATCTTGGAGGATGTTGGTGATAGAACGCGACGAAGCTGATATCTCGGCATTGGCGACCATGCCAAGAGTTTCGACCACCGCGATTCCGCACTCAACATCGGCGCATAAAATATTTAATTATAGTCATGTATAGTTTTACGCGATGTATTGTTTTCGCAGGTAATATAAAAAAATAAAAAATAAAAAAGAAAGGAGACGCCCACGCAGAGGCTCGAACTCTGGACATTTCGGTAACAATCGCGTTGTTAAAAGCCGAACGCTCTAGCCAACTGAGCCACGCGGGCTGGGTCTGGATCATGTGATGGCCGGCTGCCTGTTAACCGAGAGCTGACTCAATAAAATACTCGGGGATTTCCCTGACTGTCCCTGACCCTCGACGTCACTGCCACATCACTCTAACTACTTCTACTCCAACAACCACTGCTATGGTCCTATGGAAGCTGATGGCGTCCATTCCCACCAACCGGGATAGTATATACTCCTACCCTATTGCCAAGTAAAGTTCTCTTCTGTTGGGCAAAGACTCAAAGAGGCAAACCAGCTGCACCGCCACACTCCGCTCCCACTCAAGCTGACAACGGCATGGAGAACAGCGTCATCGATGCCCATGACTGCTCCTCTGCAGCGGAATCGCCGTCTGCGGCTCGCTTCTCACAGGATACCGTCTCCAGCTCCGCATTACGCCGACCCTACTCGTCGCAGGTTCGAAATATATCCAGATGGTGGGCGGTTGCAAGGAACAGGATATCTGCCTCGGCGGGCGCGCATTCCATGGCTCTCCCGCTGCTGTTCCATGGATGCCGTCCAGGTCCGCGCACTTTCTTCGATTTATTTTACTCCAGGTGTAGAAATGAAACCGGCATGAAGAGGGTATACAGTAGAAGAGTAGACAGAAGAGCAGATGCAAGATCTAGAGAGCAGATGAGATAGCCGTAAGCATAGAAATAAGCACATGTACTGCTATGGGCCACCCCATACAACGGCAGGCGGCGAGCCCACATGCGGTACGTCCGGCGGGCGCATCTGGGCATTACGTCGACGGCTGCAGGGATTGGCCGCGGCGACAACCTCATCTCAGCGCTTCTCTGCCTTTGAATTTTGCCCCAGCACTCAACTCCCGCTCCAACTTCCACGACACGACCCGGCGATTTTCTCACAGCTGCCCTAATTGCTTCTGTCTTCGCTCCTCTGCATTCACTATCGCTCCCACGCAAACCACCCCCCATTAACTCGACGTTACCTCTTATCTCCGCCTAGTTAGCCTTCCACAGCCGCAGCCTTCCCCTCACTCCTCCTCGCACAGAGTCCCCATCTAGCCTCACTTCATCGTCTGCAGCTTAATCACACACCGCTTGGCCGCATCATCTGCTGTATTTATTCATTAGGCTGCGCGTCGGCGCGGAAAGGAGCGAGCGCCAGACCCCTCCTCATCTCCTCCGCCCATCATGGATCCCAACCATCTCCGCCGCAAAGATACCACCAAGGGCCCGCCTCTACGGGTGCTGTCACTAGGTATGTAGACTGCTCGTCACCTTCCACTGCACGGCGCAATCCGCTGCATCCACCCCCATCTCTAGCTATCAAAACCAGTCACTAACACGGCCCCCAAATCCACAGATGGCGGCGGCGTCCGCGGCTACTCGATGCTCATCCTCCTCCAAGAACTCATGCACCGCACCTACGTCGAGTGCGAAGGCAAGGCCCCCGCCCGCGACCAGATCCCCAAACCATGCGACCACTTCGACCTCATCGCCGGCACCGGCACCGGCGGCCTCATCGCCCTGATGCTGGGCCGGCTCCGCCTCGACCTAGAAACCTGCAAGGAGGTGTACGTGCGCATGACCCGGCGCGTCTTCGAGACGGACAAGACCATCGCCGGAATCCCCTACCGATCGACCCTGTTCAAGGCCTCGAAGCTCGAGGAAGCCATCCGCCAGTGTGTGCGCGAACATACCGTTTTCGAGTCTGAGGGGAATGATGGCTCGCCTGCGCCTGCGCGCCCATATCTTGCGAGTCCCGTGGCCAGGCCGCAGACGAGTAATGGCTTACAGAGGAGGATTAGTCGGGGGAGTGTGAGCACGATGGCGGTGTCGAGCCCGTCACCTGCAAACTCGCGTGGTTCCGCTGTGATAAATGGGTCGATATGGGGGAATCCGGATGCGAAACTTTATGATAATCGGGAATACAGGACAAAGACGTGAGTTACTTTTTGCCTTCGTTTAGTTACTGTCTACTAACTATTACTGCCATTCAGCGCCGTGACCGCGGTATATAAAGGCACACCAAAGAATGGAAACTCGACGTTACTACGATCGTATGATTCACGAAAAGAACCGCCGCCAGAATTCAACTGTACCATATGGCAAGCAGGACGAGCGACCTCTGCGACAGGCCTCGCATTCAAACCGATTCAAATAGGGCAACATGTTTTCGTTGATGAAGGCGCGGGGAAGTACAACCCAGCACCCCAGATCCTCGACGAGGCGGCCGTAAACGAATGGCCCGGGAGAGAAGTTGGCGTGTTTGTCAGTATTGGAACAGGCAAGCGGCCAGCGGGGACGAACCATATGCAACACGAATGGTGGGAGGATGTTTTCTCAGACTCGCTAGGAAACTTTGCGGAGGCGCGAAGACGGCTGATCTCGAAAATCGAGGGGTGCGAAAAGACTCACCAAGCCATGCTAAGAGAGCATCTCGCGAAACGGAACGTTCCCTTGGAAAACTATTTCCGTCTCAACGTAGAAGTCGGCGTAGGCGAATTCGGTATGAACGAGTGGAACCGGTTAGCCGATATCAGCACGAGCACGCGCATGTACGTTGCGCGCAACGAGGTGCAGAAAATGAACCAGGAGGCCGCCGCCAAACTGGCCAAGATCTACCTTACACACCGCAGACTCGAATCGCGTGAAGCGGGCGGCGACGCAGTCAGTTTTGAAGAAGGCGTCGAGGACGCCGATCGACTCCAGCACTACCGCCCTGTCCCACCCATCCCCCCGCCTCGACGGAGCTCCATGACCATCTCATCCCCGCAATCCGTACTACCACCCCAGCCACAACCGCCTCACTCTTCCGCCATCGAGTTACCCGCTGCCGTGGAACTTCCGGGAGAAGACTTCCTCCTCCCATCGGCAAATCACAACCCCCAGCCTCCCCCACCCGTCCCACCCCCACGATACCCCTATCAAAACCGCACCTCCTCGCAAGACAAATACACCGTAATAACAACAAACGAATACCCACAACCCCTAAACATCAACCGCAAAAACTCAGCCACCCACCACCCCTCCTCCTCCTCCTCCACCACCAACCGCCTCAGCCTAGACCTACATCAACAACAGCAACAACAACAACGACCCAGCCCACCCCACAGCACCCACACCCACTCCCCCCGCCTCAGCTCCGAGACATTCCCAACCAGCCCAGCAACCCAACCACCCCCGCGGCCGCCCAAAACCCCCATCCCGTATCCCGAAGACGGCCAGGCGCCGGTAATAATGCCCATCCCGCCCCGGGCACCCAACCGGCCGTCGAGCAATTACGCGGGGATGAATATGAATATGAATAGTATGAAGATGAAGCTGCCGTATCCGGACGATGGGCCGCCGCCGTTGGTTAATAAGGGGAGGAAGCCGGTGTATAATCGGCGGTAGTTTTTTTCTTTTCTTTTCTTTTTCTTTCTTTGAAAGGGAATGATTTTATGCTGATGTCGTTATGTTTTTATGTGTGGTGGGGGTTCTGCTTTATATACTTATATATACATATATTCATTGTCGTTGTTATATATGAATGAATGAATGAATGAGCGGGATTTTTGTTTTTATTTTCTTGTTTGATGTGTGTGTTTGGGTATATATATATATTTGAAGAAAAAGGAAGCTTGGAAGGGAAAATGAAAGAACACTGTGTAGTAGTAAATAAAAGGAATGGAAAGGAAAGGAAGAAGAGGGGATGATATACTAATTAGTAGTTATTTATGCATGAATGAGAATTGAGAATGAGAATGATGGATGTGGCTATATATGACTGTAACTATAACAGTCTAAAATAATATGTATGTATATATAACTTTCAATCTTAGACTGTGTTCTGTTCTGTTCTGTTCTTCTACTTTTCTTCTATTACATATATAACAGTGGACTCGAAGGTTACTTGAAGCTCAGACTGGTGAGGATGTTAGTAGTCCAGGGAAGGACAGGATGGGATGGGGATGGAACAGGGGGCGTTTGGGGACTACTAGTACTATGTATGGAGAACTACCCAGCGGCTAGAAGGGAACACATGGCCTGTAGGTAAAGAGAAGCAAGTAGATAGAGGCCAATCCTTACATATTCTCATGTCTGTTATCTGGAGTTGTTCTGTTCATTCCATCCAGTTAGTATTTATCTCTCGTCAGGGGCTAGAATTAGTAGAAGTAAGCGCCCATCGCCGTGGCAACAGGGCTTGGCGCGTGTTTACAAGATTCGACGGGGGAACAGAACAGGCAGAAGAGAGGAATAGAGGTGAGATATGGATGTTTAGATGGAGAAGATCAGACTGGTATTATCAACGCCCTTCTCTCCCAATTCCAAACCGCTCTCCAACAGCGCATGAATATGCGGGACGCCAGCCGTCGCAGTTGAGCCGCATCCCTGCCTCTTGAAACCGCCAACCTCCAACCTCGAGCTGGCCCCAACCCCGAACTCCATTGCAGCCAGCTTCAGAGGAGAAGGGCTGCTCTCCTCGCTCGTCTGCTCCCCTTCTCACCGTCACGAAGCTGTAAGTCCAGCCTGCCGCGGTCTCGCAGCCAGACACTATTTAACTAACCAGCCCAAACAGACGGCATGTAGATCCTGCATCTCCTTTGTCGACCTCCCACTGGCTGCCAACTTTCTCAACAACTTCGCAAATACCAGTACCCATTCTCGCTCCCATTCGATCCGGTCGCTTTCGCCTTCTGGCATCTGCCCAGCCTCTGACGGCTCTCCTTGCTTTTTCTCCTGCAACCTGCCATTGCGTTGTTCCAGTGGGACCACCTGCCAGCTGTACATATATCGAGGAGACACGACGAGATAGGTACATCTCCTACATCTCACCCACGGCCATATCAGTATCTACCACTACAATGGTCTAACTTCTTCCCGCCCTCACACCGCCCTCGACTCCGAACCAGACAGACGCTGCACACCCGTCACCGCCCCAGCAGGAACCACGGCACCAGCAATCCACCCACCCACCCGTCCGTCCATACATAAATACATACTCCTCGACCTCACCCCATATCCCCACCCCTCAACGGCCGACTGCC